GATCAGTAGTGGGATCACACCTGTGAATAGCCACGGCACTCTAGCCCGGGCAACACAGTGAGACTCTGTCTCAAAAAAAAAAAAAGAAAGAAAGAAGGAATTTCTTCCAGAAGGATACCTTTTGAGTCCCAACTCCTGGACTATGAGAATGTCCTGGACTATTAGATGTATGTAAATTGTATTCATGAACCTGGTGTGCCCACTCAGCCTAATTTACAGAATCTCTCTTTACCAGAAGATATAACTTGGGAGTGAGTGTTTTCTTTTTCTTTTTTTGCAGCAACTTGCATGGATGAGTGTTTATCTTAAGGGAAGACTCTTGGCTATAACCTAAACATACGTACACCCATAATTTGCTGAAATAAAAAAAAAAAAAAAAAAAAGACCTTGAAAGAAAAAAATTCCAGGTTATTATTTATATGAACACAGAATGAGGATGACATAAACGTAAAACTAATGGCAGGAGACATGAATTTTTTTATGTAACAATAGCACCTTTATCTTTTATTTTTTAAAGACTTTATTTTTTTTAGAGCAGTTTTATAAGTTCACAGCAAAATTGAGAGGTAAGTACCGAGGTTTCCCATGTACTTCCCGCCCCCACACATACATAGCCTCCCTCATTATCAACATCTAATACCAGAGTGGTACTTTTGTTATAATTGACACCATTATCACCCAGAGTCCATAGTTTACATTAGGGTTCACTCTTGGTGCTGTAGGAAACCATGAATATTGGTAGATTTGACTACCTAAAATTTTTTACATATCAGAAACTAAAAGCAAAATAAAAGGCAAACAAACTGGGTAATACATTTGTGTCATGTATTACAGAGGACCAATACTAGCATTTGAAGTAATCTTACAGATCAATTTTGGAAAAGATAAACACTTCAGGAGAAAAAAAATGTCAAGTCACAAGTAGGCAACTCACAGAAGACCAAAAAATGGTCAAAAGTAGGGGGAAAGTTCTGCTTTACTAATGATCAGATAAATGCATATCATATTGCAGGTTTGTATAGAATCAGCTTGCCCAAGGTTATAAAATAGTCTGCTTTTGGAGAGCAGTTTGATAGTATGTATCAAAATCCTTTAAATTTTGTGTAATAATAGCATTTGTTACCCTCTCTGTGAGGCATAGTGTTAAGTGTCAGACAAAGATTTGCTCGTTTGATCCTCAAAATTACCCTTTTATCCAAATGTGGTTATTTCCATTTTAATGATGAGGAAATTGAAGTGTTGGAGAAATAATGCCAGCTTCCCCAAGGTCATTTAGCTAGTTAGTGGTAGAGCCAGGACTTCAAACCCAAGTAATATGTCTTCCGAGCCTGAGCCCTTAACAACTATGCCTGTCTGAGAGTTTATCCCCCCAAAATATTTGAGTGTATGTGCCCAAATATCTTTCTATCACATTATTTATGAGAGCAGAAATTTTTAAAACAATTAAATGCCCAACAATCTATTCTTTTTTTTTTATTTCAGCATATTATGGGGGTACAAATGTTTAGGTTACGTATGTTGCCCTTGCCCCCCCCAAGTCCGAGTTTCAAATATGTCCATCCTTCGGGTGGTGCGCATTGCACTCTTTGTGTATGCATATACCCGTCCCCCCCTCCCCCTCCACGCAACATCCAGTAGATGTTATTCTTATATGTGCACTTATGTCCAACAATCTATTCTTTAAAATACAACATAGCTATTAGAAATCATGTTGAACCAGAAAATACTCATGTGAAGATGTCTATGATAGTGTTAAGTCGAAGGGCAGGTTTCAAATCCATATTTATAATAAAAGAGTACAATTTTTAAAAATATGTGTACATGGGCCGGGTGCAGTGGCTCACGCCTGTAATCCTAGCTCTCTGG